TCCCTACACGCCAGCACGCGCACGGTAAACATGACACGTTACGTTTGTTAGTTGCGGGAGCAATCGGCGGATGGGGATGGTAGAGCAGGCACGGGGTGGGGGGGGGGAGGATGTGATCGCTGGTGGAGCTGTGCGCACCCGGGGGTGCAGGGAGAGACGGCGAGGGGAGAGCAACGGAAGCTCCGCGCGCTGCGTAGATCTGCCCACCTGACACCACAACCACAGCGCGACGTGAGATTAATGAAGCCTTTCTCGCTTCCTCTCTCTCTCTCCCTCTCGCTCTCGGCCCCCCTCTCCCTCCGACTCGCCATCAGACCCTGGTGCAGCAGTGCGTTATTACTGTTGACCCGGTAGGGGAGACCCTGCAGATGGATGGGTCAGCAGCCTGCAGGCCGGAAGGCACCGTGACAGCGGGTCACGTTCAGCCACGCTCAGCTACGCTCCATTTCGCCCCGCCACGCTCTGCCACGCCTCTCCACGTCCCCTTGGTCGCTGCCCTCGTAGTCGGCTCTCTTGTAAAAGGATTTGTCAGGAGTCCCGCCCTCGTCCGCTCGCCTTTGCCCTGCTCTGCTTTTCCTCTTTTTATCTCTCAATACGATTGCGGGATCGGGCTCTTCGAGATATGCAGACGCAGAGGAGGAGGATATACACACAGATATATATATAGAGAGAGAGAGTTCATGTAAAAGGAAGAAAGAGCTCAGGAAACAAAAAAAGAGCAGGAGGAAAAGCGAAAGGCGAAATAAATGAATAAATAAATGGAAATGGAAAGGAGGAAATAAGAAAGGGAAAGGGGTATGCAGAGAGACACGAGCAGGATGAAGCGAGGGTGGGTGGAGGCGACGCCGGCGCGGTTGCGCGGACGAGACCAAGAAGCTTGAGGGACTGGCGCGCTTGCGCACGCTCCGGCACCCGAGCGTCCCTCCCCGCGACCCAGGCGGCCGATGCATGGAACATGAGGGACCCTACTACTGCGCTACCCCTACCCGCCATGCCCGCCCCAACACCGCCCGACCTCTGGCTTTCTCGGCCGCACGCTCAGCGGCTCTCCTACTCACCGCCGCCGCTCACCGCTCACCGCGCGCATGCGGGGGAGGGACGCGATGCGCAGCGGTGCGCAGCGGGACGGCGGCTGGGAGGGTGAGCGGGAACCACGGCAGCTGACATGCGGTTGGAAAAGCGGGAAACGGGCCTCCAGAGTGGCTGCGGTCCGAATAGGGGGCCCGGGGACATCACTTCTGAGTTGAACCGAGATGATAAACGTACGCTTTTTGGACGATTGTAAAGGTAGCGTTTAATTCAATGACCCTAAGGACAGCCTTTACATGGTAAAGGTACAGCTGAAGGATGGTCTGAAAAACACTTAAAAGGTCAGTCACATTTTATTTTTTTTAAACGACTTGCTATTAGGGTTTGAATTAGGGCGGTGACACTACTGGTGCTTTGAACTAAATTTGCTTGCAACAGTAGGACAATTCCCACTGCTGCTGCTGTTCGTTTATCCGAATGTTGAATTATCAGAGCATAATGTGGCCTTGAGCATCCTGTTGACGACCTAACGACGGGCCAACTATTGGTCATTCGCCAAGAGAGACGGTTTCCCCCCCTTCTCTCCCTCTCCCCTCCCTTCCTCCTTTCCTCCCTATTCCCTCTTTTTCTATCTTTCTCTCCCTCCCCTCTCTTGAAACAATATTGTCATCAGCACCCTCTGCCCTTCACTTGTTGCTGTGTCGTGCGCTGCCACGCACACAGAGGGTTCGTGCGACACACTGGTAGCCCCCCCCCCCTTTCTCCCCAGCCCACCAGCCCACACCCACCACACACGACGACCCATAGGCCTCGTTCTATTATCACCCTGCGAACATCGGCGATCATCAGTTGCGGAAAAAG